TACCTCACTCTGCAACCCTCATTCCAGACTCTTATGATAATCATAATGCCCTAAAATATATGAATTTTAAACTATTCTCTCCCTCATCGGCTTCAATGCAGTAAACATGATGACATGTGACGTAAAAAAAGAAAGCCTAAAAAATGCTCACTGCAGATTTTCTCTTTACCTGGACTCTGACAGATAATGAAACAGAAACTTTATTCATTCATGGTTGTTGTTAGGTGCCATCAAGCCAATTACAACTCACAGTGACTCTATGCACAACAGATCTGAACTTTGCACTGTCCTGCACCATCCTTATGATCTCTGTCATGCTCGAGTCTAATTTGGGAGTCTTGTGTCAATCCATCTTGTTGAGAATCTTCCTCTCTTTTGCTGGCCCAACACCACTACCAGCACAAGGTCTCTCTCTAAGAAATGGTTTCTCTTAAAATATGTCTAAAGAAATTGAGGCAAAGTTTCAGCATCCTTGCTTCTAAGGACCACTTGGGTGCACTTCCTTTAAGATAGACTTGTTCTTTTGGCAGTCCATGGGATATTCAACACATCTACCCTCACTACCGTAGTTATTGTGTCAACCCATCTCCTCCTGGGTCTTCCTCTCCTGTGCTGTCCCTCAACCATTCCAAACATGTTATCCTTCTCCAAAGACTCACCCCTCTTGACTACATGTCCAAAATATGTGAGACAGAGCTTCAAAATCCTTGTCTACAAGCAACAGCCTGGTTTCACCCCTCCAGAACAGAGCTGTTAGCTCTCTTGGCAGTCCCTGGTAAATTTAGCATAGCAAGTAATTGCAAAGACCACGGCCTGGATCAGGCACACCTTAGTATTTATCCTGATAGCATTCCTCTTCAGCACTCTGGAGAGGTCCCTGACAGTATATTTTCCTATGCAATTCATCTTTTAATTTCCTGACTGCTGGTGCCAAAGGTATTGATTGTGGAACTGAGTAAGTTGAAATTGTTAACAATCTCAATCTTTTCTCTATCTATCACAATGCTGCCAATTGATCCAGTGGTAAGACTCTTAATTTTCTTGATGCTGAACTTCAATCCATATTGCAGACTACAATCCTTGACCCATTACAGCAAATGCTTCAGGCCCTTCTCAGTTTTAGCAAGAAGGTGTGTCATCTGCACAACACAGATCCTGATGCCACATTTTTCTCATAAAGTCCAGCCTCTCAAATGATCTATTCTGCAGATAGATTGAAAAGGTATGGGTGTAGAACACATACATGACACACTCCTTTTCTGATTTTGAACTAAGCAGTGTTTCCTTGCTCTGTTCTGACAACTGCCTCCAGGTTTTACATAAGCACAATCAAGTGTTCTGGGATTCCCATTTTTCTTAAGGTTAGCCACAATTTGTTGTGATCCACGAAGTCAAACGCCTTTGCATAGTCAGTGAAATGTAGACATTCTTGTGGTATGCTCTGTTTTTCACCAAATCCATCTATCATTGGCAATGATGTCCCCAGTACAATGGCCTCTTCTAAACCCAGCTTGTATTTCTAGTAGTTCTCTCTTAGTGTACTGTTCCAGTCACTTTTGGATAATCTTCAGCAAGATTTTGCTTGCATGTGATATTATTGATACAGTTCAATAACTTCCATACTTTGTTAGATCATCTTTTTTTTTTTTGGAATGGGAACTAATATGATCTCTTCCAGTCAGTTGGCCAGGTAGTTGTCCTCCAGATTTCTTGGCACAACCTGGTGAGCACTTCCAGGTTTGTTGAAATATGTCAATTGGTATTCCATCAATTCCTGGAACATTGCTTTTTGCCAATGCCTGCAGAGCAACTTGAACTTCCTCTTTCATCACCATTGCCTCTTGACCATAAGTTGTTTCTTGAAATTCTTCTGTGTTAGCAAATTCTTTCTGGTACGGTGACTCTGTGTACTCCTTTCATCTTTTTTTGATGCTTCCTGTATTGTTCACTACTCTGCCTTTGTTGTTGTTGGAATCGTTGTGTACCGTAAAATCAGAACTGACCCATAGCTGACCCTCCTGTGGGGTTTTCAGAGGCGGTTAATTGTACAGGAGGTGGTTGCCCATCCTTTTCCCCCAGAACAGCTGATGGACTCGAACCACATCCTCTCAGGATCGCAGTGCAGGTTCTTGCCACTAGGCTACCAGAGCTCCCTAGTCAACCCACAGCATCTTTAGGTATTAGAACTCGAAGCTTAAATTTGTTCTTCAGTTTCAGAAATGCTGAACGAGTTCAACCCTTTTGATTTTACACCTCTAGCTCTTTGCACATTTCGTTATAACACTTGACTTTTTCTTTCCAATCTGCCCACTGAAATGTGTTCAGCTCCTTAACTTTTTCCCCCTCCCTTTGCTTTGGCTTCTCAGTGCTCTAATGCAAAATTCAGAGTCTCTTCCAACATCCATCTTGGTCTTTTTTTCCTCCTTTGTCTTTGTAATGACAATTTGAATTCTTCATGGATAATATTCTTGATATCCTCCCACAGCTCATCTGGCCTTTGCTCATTATTGTTCAAGGTCTCAAGTCTGTTCCTGAGATAGAGTTTTTTTTTGTTTGGTTTTTTTTCCCATTTAGGTCTAGGGATAGACGCAAGGTCAAATTTTGGTTCTTGTGAATTTGATTTCATTTTCTTTAGTGTCATTTTGAACTTCCATATGAGTAGTTGATAGTCTTCTATAACTAGCACCTGGCTTAGTTTTTACAGCTGATATTGAGCTTTTCCAATGATTCTTTCCATAGGTGTAGTCAATGAAATTCCTGTGCAGACCATCAGTTGAGGTCCCTGTATATAGTCACTGTTTATGTCTCTTATAAAAGGTATTTGCAATGAATAAATCATTGACTGTACAAAATGCCAACATTTTATCTCCAGCCTCTTCTCTGTCATCAAGCCCATGTTTTCCAGTTACTGGTCCTTCTCCATTTCCAACTTTTGCATTCCAGTCACCTATTATTATTAGTGCTTTCTGGTTGCATGTTTGATCGATTTCTGATTGCAAAGGTTGGTAGAAATAATCTATTTCCTCCTCTTTGGCTTTGGTTGTTGGTGAGTATATTTGAATGATGGTGGTAGTGACAGGTATTCCTTGTATGTGTATAGACATTATCCTATCACTCACAACATTGTATTTATAGATGGATCTGGGAATGGTTTTTATTAACTACTAATTTAACCTTGTTTTTCCTCATCTTTTAATTTCCAGCATAGGAGATCATGTGATCATCTGATTCAAAATGTCCTGTTCCAATCCATCTTGTTTTGCCAAGAAGATGTCAATATTTGTGCATTCCATTTCTCTCTTAACAATATCCAGTTTACCTACAGTCATGCTTCTCACATTTCACATTCCAATAACTAGTGTCTGCTTGCAATTATTTCTCCTCCTTTGTGTTTGCCAGTCAGAGGACTGACTCAGGTGCCATGGCTGCCAGTCTAATTTCAGTGTGCTCTATTGTGCTTAGGATTATTGAAGGCCTGCTGTTTCAAAAGTGGATGGCCAACCCTTTTCCCTAATCTGCCTTAATTTAAATGTTCAGCTTAGAGCAATATCTGGCAGACAAGCATTTTACCTAGAAGAGCAGATGAAATAAACTTCCCATTAGAAAAGTAATCAATTAAGCGTTGGTTCCCTGCTGTCCCTCCTTTGATATCTGTGTTACGGTCTATCCACAAACCTTCTCTGCCTGCATTTGCTTCCTCCAGCATTCACTTCTACCCCTTCCTCCCAACTCCTGCCTTGCCTGGTCAGCACTCCCCAACTCCCAGCCAGCCCCAGATGTGGTGACTCAGGTCTCCAGTCATGTATGTTATGCAGGTCTCACCTGCTGCCACTGCTCCGCTCTGTCTTGAGGCTGCCACCACTGCTGCTCCACTCCCTCGTGCAGAAGCTGCCCACTGTAGCTCTGCTTTCTCGACCAGTCTCTGCCTGCTGCTGCTTGCGTGGCCACTGAACTTCTGTTGTTCCTCTCATGTCTGTTGACCAGTAGCAGTGTCAAGATGCCTTCAGTCTAAATATACGAGAGGGACATCATGCTTGGGAGAGTGGAGAGATGGCACAAGAGGGGAAGACCCTCTATGAGGTGGATTGATTCAGTGACTGGGGTAATCGGGTGTATTGGAGACATTGCTATTGGCACAGGATAGAGTAGGGTTTAGGGCTGTTGTACATAGGGTCGCTACGAGTTGCAAGCGACTCGATGGCACATACAACAACAACAACAATGTAGGACCACAATTTGTTATGGTCCACGTAGTCAAATGCCTTTGCATATAGTCAATGAAACAAAGATAGACATTCCTCTGGTATTCCCTGCTTTGAGCTAAGATCCATCTAACATTAGCTACAGTATCTCTAGTACCATTACCCCTTTTACACCCAGCCTGCACTTCTGGCAGTTCTCTGCTGATATGCTGTTTCAGTTGCTTTTGGATAATCTTCAGCAGAATCTTACTTGCATGTGAAATAAATGATATTGTTCTATAGTTTCCACACTCTGTTGGATCACTCTTCTTTGGGAAGGGAACAAATATAGATCTCTTTCAGTCAATTGGCCAAGTGGTTGTTTTCCAGACTTCTCGGCACAACTTGGTGAGCATGTCCAGGGCAGCATCTTTTAGCTGAAATATGTCAATCAGTATATCATCTTTTCCTGGGGCCTTATTTTTTGCCATTTCCTTCAAAGCTGCCTGAACTTCTTCCTTCATCAGCATAGGCTCTTGCTCATATCTTGTTTCATGAAATTCTTCTGTGTCTGCCAATTCCTTTTGATACAGTGACTCAGTATATTCTTTCCATCTTCTTTTAATACTTCCTGGATCATTTAATATTCTTCCTAAAGCTTCCTTGATTATAGCAACTCGAGGTTTGAATTTGTTCTTCAGTTCCTTGAACTTAAGAAATGCTGAGCGAGTTCAGTGCTTTTGATTTTCTGACTCCAACTCCTTGCACATTTAGTTGTAATATTTTACTTTGTCATCCTGCGATGCCTTTTGAAATCTTCTGTTCAGCTCTTTAGTATTTTGAATTCTTCCTTCCGCTTTGGGTTCTCTGTGCTGGAGTGCAATTTTCAGTCACTTCTGACATCCATTTTGGTCTTTTCTTCCTCTTCTGTCTTTGTAATGACCGTTTGCATTCTTCCTGGATGATACCCTTGATATCCTCCCACAGCTCATCTGGTCTTCACTCATTAGTGTTCAAGGCCTCAAACCTGTTTCTGAGATGGTTCTGAAAATCAGGTGGGATAGACTCAAAGTCATAGTTTGGTTAATGTGGATTCGGTTTAATTTTCCTCAGCTTCAGCTTGAACCTGTATATGAGTAATTGGTGATCTGTTCTACACATACCATTAGGTGAAATCCATGTATAAAACCTGCGTTTATATGTCTTAAAAAATGTATTTGCAATGAAGAAGTCTTTGTGCAAAATTCAATCATTCTCTCTGCAGCTCCATTTCTGTCACTGAGCCCATGTTTTCCAACTATTGAATCTTCTTCTCTTTCCCAACTTTTGCATTCCAGTCAACCGTTATTATCAATGCATCTTGATTGCATGTTTGATCGATCTCCGACTGTAGAACCTTCTATTTCCTCTTCTTTGGCTTTGGTTGTTGGTGCATATATCTGAATAATAGTGGTATTCACTGGACTTCCTTGTATGAGTATGGATATTATCCTGTCACTCACAATATTGTACTTCAAGATGGATCTAGAAATGACTTTCTCAACTATGAAAGCAACTCCATTTTTCCTCACCTTTTCATCTCCAGAGTAATATATCATATGATCATTCAGCTCCAAATGCCCCATGCCAGTCCATCCCATCTCACCAATGCCTACTATGTGTGGATCATAAAAAACTGTGGCTGACTCTGAGAAGAATGGAAATCCCAGAACACTTGATCATGCTCATGAGAAACCTATACTTGGACCAAGAGGCAGTCGTCAGAACAGAGCAAGGAAACACTACATGGTTCAAAATTGGGAAGGGCATACGCCAGGAACGTGCCCTGTCTCCATACCTTTTCAACCTGTATGCAGAACAGATTATCTGGGAGGCTGGGCTCTATGAGGAGAAATGCGGCATCAGGATTGGTGGAAGATCTATGAACAATCTGCGTTATGCAGATGACACAGCCCTGCTTGCTGAAACTGAGGAGGACCTGAAACTCTTGCTGCAAAAGGTCAAGGACTGCAGCATTCAATATGGATTGAGGCTCAATGTCAAGAAGACAAAGATTCTTACCACTGGACCAATTGGCAGCATCAGGATCGATGGTGAAGAGATTGAGATTGTTCACAGCTTTTGTGTGCGTAGCTCCATAGTTAACACTCTTGGCACCAGCATCTAGGAAATTAAAAGATGTATTGTGATGGGAAAGTCTGCTGTTAGGGGCCTCTCCAAAATACTGAAGAGTAATGGTGTCTCTCTGGAGACTAAGTTGCGTCTGATACAGGCCATGGTCTTTGCAATCACTTGTTATGCATCTGAGAGTTGGACAATGACCAAAGAGGATAGAAGGAAAATTGATACCTTTGAGCTGTGGTGCTGGAGAAGAGTGTTGAGGGTACCACGGACTGCTAGGAAAACAAACAGGTTCATCCTGGAGAGGGTTAAACAGGGCTGCTCCTTGGAGGCAAGGATTCTGAGGCTCCATCTAACATACTTTGGACATGTTGTAAGGAGGGACCAGTCCTTGGAGAGGGACTTCATGCTTGAGAGGGTGGAAGGACAGCGCGGGAGGGAAGACCCTCTATGAGGTGTATTGATTCAGTGACTGGGGTAATTGGGTGTATAGGAGAAAGTGCGATTGGCACAGGACAAAGAAGAGTTTAGGGCTGTTGTACACAGGGTCGGTATGAGTTATGAGCAACTTGATGGCACGTAACAACAACAACAATGTAGGACCCCACACACAGTCTCCTCCTGTGCAGTTAACTGTCTCTGAAAACCTGCTGGAGGGTCAGTTATGGGTTAGTTCTGACTCAACAGTACACAACAAAAGCAACAACTACACAACAGTGTAAGGAGTAGAAAAAGTCCCTGGGTAGTGCATTATTAATTCATTTGGTAGATTGGTGGACGAATTATCAACAATCTGCGTTATGCGGATGACACAACCCTGCTTGCTGAAACTGAGGAGGACCTGAAGCGCCTGCTGCAGAGT